GTTGTCGTAGAGTCGTCTTTTGTCCTTCCTAGTGTGGTGAGAGCAGGCTGCTAGCCGATTGGTTGGCACTAATCTACGTTAAGGTCTAGGTCACTAATATGGGCCGTGAGAAAATATGAACAAGCCTGAGTAAACAACCAATCAGAAGCCTGCGTTTGTCTACCTAAACAACCAATCAGATGACTGCGCTTGTCTATAATAATGTAGTTGAAAGATGTATAAATACGTGTTGATTTTCATAATAAAACGATCTGTTGCCTGGCCCTTGTCTTCTGTTGTTACATTTGGTGTCGCTGCCTACCGACAAATGAAAAGCCTATACCCTGCAGTTTTTGATGGAGACATATGGATCTTCGGGCAGGACTTCAAGGCTTCTGCGCAGTTGAGTGGCGTTCAAGATCTGTCAGCGATGGAGCTGCTACTTGGGACGCTGCTGGGAGGTCGGGTGAAAGCAGCATATGAAAGTGTGAGCCGAAGTATGGACGAATGTTCGACAGGGTCAGGCAAACAGTTTCCAAAGTGGGAAGGACCATATATGGTCACTTCGAGATGGGGTTACGCAGACACAGTCGCAATGGCGAACAATGAGAGGCGCGTGAACGTCAGCGAGCTCCAGAAATGGATACAGCGAGACAAGCCAACGATGACGCCTGCACCAAGTAGATCAAGCCGACTTCAGTCGCACGTATTTGACGGGGGGACGAGTGTGGTGAGAGCAGGCTGCTAGCCGATTGGTTGGCACTAATCTACGTTAAGGTCTAGGTCACTAATATGGGCCGTGAGAAAATATGAACAAGCCTGAGTAAACAACCAATCAGAAGCCTGCGTTTGTCTACCTAAACAACCAATCAGATGACTGCGCTTGTCTATAATAATGTAGTTGAAAGATGTATAAATACGTGTTGATTTTCATAATAAAACGATCTGTTGCCTGGCCCTTGTCTTCTGTTGTTACACTAGCACTCTTCTTCACTTCTTTGTCCAGTGCTGTGTAACTTGAGCTCAGCGTCTCCTTCTCCTGTCCGCCCTTGCATTGAATCATTTTCTCTTTCACCATTCTCCTCTCTTCTATTAATTTCCAAGTGTCCGTTGAGAGCCATTTCTTGTCTTGTCTCTTCTTTCTTCCTAGAACCGTTGAACACGTTTCGTTGAGAATCGCCTTCAGAGACTTCCAATGTTCTTCTCCGCATGATTCTTCAGTGATGTCGCGTAGCGTTTCCTGCTTTGCTCTGACAGTTGCAGTGAAAGTGCCCTTTGTGGTTTTGTCCTTCAGTAATTGAGTGTTGAACTTGCATTGTGGCCCATCTCCAGCTATCCTCGAGGCTTTTAGTTTCACCTTGAAAGTCCCTTGTACTAGATAGTGGTCTGAACCCACATCTGCTCCTCTCCTCGACCTTGTATCCAGTAGGCTCCGTCTCCACTTTCTTGAAATTGAGATGAAGTCTATCTGGTTCTTGGTGTTTCCATCTGGTGAAATCCATGTCGTCTTGCGTATATCCTTGTGTTTGAACACACTACCACCAATCACCAAATCATTGAAGGCGCAGAAGTCTGAGAAGAGTTCACCATTGTCGTTCATTTCACCGAGGGCCTCTCGACCCATGGTGAGTTCTCTTCCTGTGTTGTCTCCCCTCCCAGCTTCGCATTCATATCACCCATCAGGATTTTGATATTGCCATTTGGGACGTTGTCCATTATTGCTTGTAGTTGTCTGTAGAACGCCTCCTCCTTCTCTTGTTCTGAGACGTTTGTAGGCGCATAGCATTGAATGACTGTAACTTTCCTTCCTTTTGAGTTGAAACTGGCTGTCATTATCCTGGAGGAGATTGGTTCCCACTGCATGAGAGCTTTGGCTGCTGTTGGTGACATCATGATGGCCACTCCCTCAGTGTGCTCGTGGTTGTCCTCTGGGTGGCCGGAATAGATTACTGTCTCTCCAGTAGGTAGTTGGCACCTTCCAGTTCCGTTCCATCTGCTTTCGAAGATTCCCAACACTTCTATTCTGTACATTCTCATTTCAGCGGCTATCTGGGCAGCCTTTCCAGTTTTGTACATTGTACGAACATTCCAGTTACCCATCCTTACTTTTGCTTTCATCTATCTTTTATCTAAGCAATCATAATTCGTCGACTGGGAAATGATAAACAAGAGGTGGTAGTAGTATAAGTTATTTTAATGTATTTAAACAATCTCTGGTAAAGAAATTCACTGGCTATGTCTCCAATAAATTGGAGTTTCATGAACAAGTGTTTCTTTTTAACCGTAATTCTCTCCGCTTCATTGTATTCACTTTTCATGAGTCTCATATGTCCCACTACGATCGGTACATTGTCATTATCGTTATATCGGTGATATATTTATTATTCTTGATCAGAAAACTGACAAAAACGAAGAACATGATGGCGAATGTGTATTTTCCTCATCTGTACTTGAGCAGAAGAACAGATGATTCAGTCAAAAGAGACGTTTATAAAAGGATTACATCTGTAGGACAATATATACTCTTCTTTAGCTTCATTCACATCCAGTTTGGTCAAACGCCTCAAAAATTGGGCTAGAAGGATCTACACTAATGATTTTTTTAAAATGATTTAGGATATATCCATAATGAAGATCAAACGGCCAGAAAAGATTAGCTACAAGGGACTCTGGCGGTGAACCAACAGAGAACTTATCGCCCAGCAAATATTAGGGATAAGATTGAGGTGAATTTGACGTACGCTGACAAGATCGTTGAGTGGTTTCACTCGTCAAGTCCTCATAGAAGAAATCGTATGAGGAAAAGGTGAGAGCTTATGGTCAGTCGTAGAGTCAGCTAAAAAGGATTCCAGGGAACAATGTCAGATGGACATGTGCTATTGTATGCAACCTATTATGATTGTTCATGTGAAATATAAGTTACCTAGCTGTATCACTTCCATGTGTATCTAGAAATTTAGCTGCTCCTGTGGAGAAAGCTGCATAGAACGAACAACTAGACAGCTTGACAAATGCATCTCTGAGCAACTCGTGTCATGACTGAGAAAAGGTCATACAAAGCCTAAAAGAAGCTCAGTTTTGTCTCATTCGACTGATAATAGTCACTAATTGGATAGACCCGGGGTTCGATCCCCGGCCACAGACGCACTCCTTTACCTTGCTAAGCCAGAAATAATGCTGGTAAAGATGAAAGGTTGGGGATGAGGCTAGCAACCCCATCGTGTAAAATAAACACTGCTACGGAAACTTCAAGCCACTAGCTTGAAGCGCTATGTTCCACTGGGGAAGGTGAAGGAAAAAAATTGGACAGAAAAAGGGCTTTCATGGTTACTCATTGTATTTCATCAAACCTTTCGAAAGGAATTCCAACTCGTCTTTTACACAAAGTCTAAGTTATGGGAATTCGGGAAAGTAACCCTATTTGGTCCTACCTTTGTGTCTTGGTCTACATAGATTTACTGTCTGTCTGTCTGTCTGTCTGTTTTCGACATAGAACTATGCACAAATGTGCGGCACCTCCAGTCGCCACACTCCGTGTAGCACGCGAAGCAAGAGAAGAAAGTACGAGAAAAGCATAATAGAAACAGTGAGCAGAGGTGTGAGACAAAGAAGTAATAAAGAAAAACAAAACAGTTTCATTGGAGATCATAAGTCACAAGGAGTGGATGCATCTGCGCCACTGAGAACGATTTTGAGCCATGTCACCAATTGTTTCCAACCATTGATTTTTACCGTCCCGAGGACCCCAGCCTGGAAGTCTACACCTTCCTACGTGGCTTAGACCAACTGTTGTGGATTTCATTGACTGATGCCAAGTTTTTGTTTGACCGCCGCTAGCTTTTTTCCAGCCTGACCCTATATCCGCTAACATTGCTCGTCGAGGGAGGCGATGGCTTGGCATACGTAACACATGTCCTAACCATCTCAGTCTTTGTAGCTTCACGACTTCGTCGATTGATTTCCCCTGTTTACCTGGAACTCGACGCCTAATCTCAATGTTGCTCACCTTATTATGCCACTTTACACGGGAAATAGAGCGCAGGCACCTATGATCAAAGACAGCTAGTCTTTTCATGTCTTCCACTCTCAGTGGCCAGGTCTCACAGCGAGCCATAAAGGAGGACGGAGCGGACTGATGAGCAGTACACCCGCCCTTTGGTCGATAGTCGAACATCTCGTCTACGCCAGAGTCGGCGTAAACTGGCAGATTTACTAAACTAACTGAAACTCCCCTCCCATTCATTTATCATATTTAGTCAAACGCTGATTGTCTGTCGACTTTGACGTGCTCTCTTTTGCATTACTCAATATCGATTCCAGAGATTTTGCCACTGCGTTTCATTCTGATTGAAAATACATCCTTCTGATCAGTCTCAATGAATAAAAAGTCCAGGTTGAAGAGAATGGTTCTTCCTATCTCTCCCTAATATCCAACAACACATTTTTAAGGATTATTTTCCTCTTAATACAATGTAGGGTGCAGCAGGTCGGGTGTGAGGACAAATACTCGCCGAAGACATTGTCTGGGGGTCGCGTTATGTCGTGAATTGGCAGAAATTAGAATTCATGGGCCATTGTGTCGGGTCCCAGTGGCTCAATGGTCTACGAGCTAGCTCGCCTTGTAACCAGAAGGCCCTGGGTTTGAACTGTGGCGGTGGGTGCGTACTACTGAAGAGTCCCAAACTATGACGAAACAGCTGTCCAGTACTCCCAGGTTTTCCAATGGTTCTCTAACTGATGTCAGCTCATGATGAAGTCCTGTAATGTATAAATTTATTAAATAGACAGCCTGTTTAAGAGTTATGAATTAATTGGGCAAAGTGTTATTCAATAATTTTCACTCTTTACCACGTCAAGCTGACTGTTATAATTTCAACTTGATTATCTAATGTTTCCTTGAACTTGTAAATTGGCCAACATGACTCAGGAATTTCGTATGATACTGACATGAACAGACTTTTATCAACAGTTGCCCCCTTCTCTGGCTCCATACTGAAGATCAAATGGCCAGCCGGCCAGAAGGAATTGGCAACAAGAAATTCTGGCTGGGAACAAACCAACCAAGAGCCTATTGCTCAACAAATATGTAGGAGAGGAGGCCATTGAATGACATCGCGCCATATATGCAGGCCATCGCTCGAGTGGAATCCAAATGGGAAGCGACGAGTAGGTCGTCGGTGTGAGGGTGACATGGAGGAGATCTTGTGATGAGGAGGAGATGAGAGATTATGGTCAAACATGGATCCAGGTGAAGAGGACAACAGAACATAAAACAGAGTGAAGATGTGTTGTTGAAGTCCTCCCATTGTTCCACTTGGAACCCGAGGGAATAGTAATATATAATGTACTGACATGCACTCTTTATGATATATTGTAATGGTTCACAGATTCCCATCTCAATTTTCTAATGACCTACTTTCTCTTTTATAAAAATAAAAACAAAACCTGTTTATGCTATAGAACATTCCGATCTATCTTGAAAGTGATTGGTAACAATCTAGACAAGTACACTGGATATCCAAGAACTATAGGTGGTAAGTTTTTTTTTTTTTTGATTGAAGTTACATAAATTGTTCATATATGTATAATATTTCCAATTACAGTATGTAGTCAGCTGAATGTGAGTAAATGCGCCAGCTTATTTTAAGAGTAAGATAGTGCTTATATAAGTGACTTATCAAGTGGAATAACAACTAATAAGTTAAGAAAACCGATTTGAAGAACTTTTAATGCCGATGAGCTTCAGCTGACAACCAGTTCTAACTCTTTAAGTGAAAGATGAATCACCTATGCTAGCCACCTTTTTCTTCTATCTATCAGTTCAACTGCTCCCGTGGAGCCAGTTGTATTGGCTGTTGGTTGGTCTAGGAATTTAGTTCTTCGTCCTCAAGAATACCTACCAGTATGGCTTAACAGAGGTGTAGTAAAAACCATCAAGAGTTCGATATTAAACCTTCTGGTTCAAACACTGAAGAATCCTTTTTCTATCTAACTAATTTCGGACTCCTAAGGAAACTGGTGAAATTTCATCTCGAATTGTGTGTTGCCAGTTGACTATTTGATTAAATGTACTACCAGTTCACCCCAGTAATAGCTAGACAGAATTCGAGTGGTTTTAACTGATTCATTTGTCTGAGCTAAGTCAAACCGGTTACACTTCTGATTATCTTGACACCGAATGAGTGAAACAGCTATCCGATGTTCAGATCACTTTGACCAGGCTGACCATGACTGACATCCAACTACTGATATCAAACTATCAGTATTATAAAGCACGATGCGTTTAGGAAATTTAATTAAGTGACGCGTAAAGTCCGAAAATACAAAATTTGAATAAGACATTTAGAAGACAAATTTCGCGAGATGATATCATTTCGTAATTTCTTTACAACCTCTTTACAACTAACATGATTCACAATAATAAAATAAAATACATGATACTTACTCAGTCATATAAAACAAAAGAACGTACTAGTGACCGATTGGTCACTAGTCAAGTAGCCCATGCTAGGCGAAGGTTGAAGTCTATTGTTTTTTGTACACATAGTTTAGGATATATGTGATTAATCCAAAGGATTTGCCTATAATACAGTACTATATTAAACACAAAATATGAAATATAATATATACATCTCAACTGTGAGGTGTCTATGGCTGGATGCCGTCAAAAAGCACAGTCAATATGCTTCAGTAAGTAAATTACTCGAGTACTATGGCGTACCCCAAATATTCATCAACCTTATTCAACAGCTGTACGACAACGGCACATGTCAAGTGATCCGCAACGGAAAACTCAGCGAGGCGTTTGGAGTAAACACAGGAGTCAGACAAGGGTGCTTATTATCACCAATGATATTCCTAATTGTGGTGGACTGGATTATGCATCAGACAGTGGGAAACGAGAATACAGGAATATCCTGGACCGACGCGAAGAACCTAGAAGACCTGGATTTCGCGCGTGGATGATTTATGTTTGATGTCACACACAATCGAAGACTTACAAGCGAAAACCGACAAACTGGTCGAAGAAGCAGCCGGCGAAGACAGGACTCCAAGTGAACATAGACCAGATGGAGGTGATGAAAATAACCAACCAACCAATAACAACAACAGCAGCACCAACATCCAGCGTCAATCACCATCAACGGGAGGGATTTGAAAGAGGTTACTTCATTCACTTATCTAGCATTGAGCATTGTCTCAAATACAGGAATTCAGAACGGACGAGCATGTCAAATCGAGCGAGAATCAGGAAGGCGAGAAACACATTCATCAACCAACCTGAAATCAATCTGGAAATCTTCGTCACTCAGCCAGAATCAACAACAAAATCCAGTCGGATTTTCAATACAAACGTCAAGTCAGTTCTTCTATACGGATCAGAAACTTGGCGGGCGGGTCACAAAGAATATTTCCAAAAGGTTGCAGACCTTTATTAATAATTGTCTTCGCTCTATACTAAAGATCAGATGGCTGGGCCGGAAAGAATCACCAACAAGAAATTGTGGGCACTAATAATAATAATAATAATAATCACTTTATTCCACAACAATAAAAATTTACAGCATGGAATTTTCAGCGTTTCTTTTACATATTGCAATGGTTTAGCTCTGTTTATAATTATATAAATGTATAAAATGTTAAAATATTGATAGTTAATAGGAAAAAATAATAAAAAAATAAATAAGAATAAAAAACCCAACAAAATCATACCATTTCTAGGTCATAGTGAATAATAAATAAATAATATAACAAATAACACTTGCATTAATATGCATCATTTCATTTTATAGTTTAGTTACTGATTCAAAAGTTGTAAAAGTTCTTTTCTGATATTTGTCTCTTCACACAATACTCGTGCCAAATATGGAACGGTCGAATTTTTATATTTTGTAGTACGAGCATAAATGTTTATAAAATTTCTTCTGGTCTTACCCGAAGAGATACAAGGAAACAATTGTGAATAAAGAGGATGTTCACTATCAGATAAGATAACTTTAGCTAAGTGTTTACAAGAATTCATATGCCTATTGACAACAGTGTCATTTAGTTCAGTCAAAGGGATAGCACTGACCCTACTTACAGCCCTCAATGTTCTTCGTAGTATTATATGATCTTTCTTGAGTAGCCCAGGGAAGAATAATGGAGAACAATAAAGAATGATGGGCAAAACACATGAATTAATAAATTGTATGATAAGAGATTGAGTTATACCTGAGTGTCTCAACTTCTTTATGTAATAAGTCAGACGGAAAACTTTCTTAGAAACTATAAGAATATGAGACGACCAGCAAAGATTTGACGAGAAACTAATGCCAAGATAAGAAACACTTGACTTACTCTCAATCATGGTACCATCAATATTACAACAATCATGAGATTGAATCAATCTATGCATGTCTTTTTCACTTCTCAAGCTGAAATCAACAGTGTTACATTTAGTTGGATTTAGTTTAAGACCATTTGAGCGAGACCAATCCTTAACTTCAGCTAGGAAGCCATTCATATAGGAACAATCCGATGTGGCAACTACAGGGACAGAAACGGTCAGGTCATCAGCATACTTAATGAAGTTAACTTTGGGTGAGTTCGGAAGGTCATGCAGAAAGAAAGAGAAAAGAAATGGAGAAAGTACTGCACCTTGAGGCACACCACTTTCAGTTAGCTGGGAAGTGGAGCGCTTTCCAGCCAAAACAGTATGCTGTTTCCTATCCTTAAAATAAGAAGACAGCCATCTAGTTGCCCAGGACTCTGTTTGTGCTGAATTCATCTTGCCTAATAAAAGTGTCCTAGGAACAGAGTCGAAAGCTGCAGTATAGTCTAAGAAAGCTGTTCGAACGAACTTAGCGCCCTTATCAAGGCAGGAAACAATATTGTGGTGTAGTACAATGGCTGCATCTAATGTACTTCTTCCACACTTATAAGCAAACTGCTTAGGGTCATTAAAAGCTTTTAAAGAAGGTTTAAGAATATTCAAAAGAAGTTTCTCCATAGTTTTCAAAAAAGGAGATGTTATAGCGACTGGTCTAAATTTTATACCTGCTCCAGAAGATGATTTCTGTACAGGTACAACCTTGATTTCTTTCCAGTCAGCAGGTACCGTTTCCCTCTTAAATGATGCGTTAAAGATTTGAGTAAGAGGATGACACAAGATGTCTGCACACTTTTGGAGAAGAATGCTTGGTACACCATCTGGACCAAGGCTGTGTGTTGGATTTAATGACTTCAAACATAATAGTACATCCTTTTCTTCAAAACCCTGAAAATGACCATTTTCTTGACTAGGTACATCAGGTACAACCATATTAATTTGTTTCTTGATAAATGATTTGTTTAAAGCATTTACATCAGAATAAGCATCAACGGACATTTGTTTTTTACTTGTTAGTTTATTGAAAAGTTTCCAAATGTTTGAAGGATTTTTACATGATAAAAATTTTTCATTATATAGTCTGTTCAACCTTTCTATTTCAATTTTTATAAGGGTGTTTATTTTACGGACACCAGTATTATCACAATTCTTATACAACTTCTCTTTTTGTCTTCTAAGTTTTTTCAGTTGCAAAGAAGAGATTCTGTCAAATCTCGAAAACAGTGTTTCATAAGGACAGCAAATATCCAAACAAAACTTCAGATAATCGGTTATATTAGAGACAGTAGCATCCAACTTATCGTCAGTAAACAGTTCCCAGTTGGTATCATGCAACATGCTTCTTAATGCTAGAATGTTGTCATGGGAATATGAACGTTCATGTATCTTCTTTGTTAAATGACTAAACAATTTTCGTTGTGACTTGCCGTACACTTTCGGTAAAATACGAATAATGCAGTGGTCAGAATTTAGCAAAGGAGCTCTCCTTCGGGTTTCATATACATCACGGTCATTTATGAAAACCAGGTCTAGTGATTTGTCCAGACGTGTATTAAACTTGACTAGATTCTCATGACCAAGCGAAGTAAGAAAGCTGTGATCACATGAATTAAAATCACCACAGACTATAGACAACGAGTTTCCGAATGCAGGAGCAGCGAATTCAGTAAACTCATCTGCAAACATAACTATATTAGAAAGGCTACAATTGGGTGTTATGTAAATATTTGTTATGTATATATAAGAATATTTACTTAAGTGTTTTGGGCGACACCTGACGGTTATGCAATCTATACTGTCATTAGAATAATTGAAGCAAACGTGATTTGATGTAGACCAATTTGTGTTTATATATGTGGCTACCCCTCCTCCATATTTTTTCTTGGAACTATTTCTATCTTGGCGAAAAACTTTATATCCATTTATTGAAATTAGATTATCATCATAATGCTGGTGCAGCCAAGTCTCTTGTATTGCTAAAACGCCAGCATTTCGATAAACATTGGAATACATTAGGGATTGAAGGTAATCCATTTTGTTGGACAGGGATCTACAATTAGTGCTAACGAGTTCAGGAACAGTCATTTGATTAATTTGTGTACGTTTCAGTGCACGCTGCCAGCCACAGTGATGCTTTTTTCTCAATTTTTGTGGATGACACAACGCGGTAGGTTGTAATGATTTTAAAAATGCGCGATTATATATAATACGATTAGGACACATTATTGATAAATTAAAACAAAATTAAAAGAGCAAACCAAAGCAATTTTGCAAAATGTTGTAAGGTGGAATTTTTGGTAACCCTATGTTCAAGCAGGCCGCCGTAAAAAAAAAGCAAAACAAGGACCAATCGCCAACCAACAAATATGCAGGAGAAAGTGGAGATGGATCGGACACTCGCTGAGGAGACCGCTGGGTGACATCGCGTGTCAAACCCTCGAGTGGAACCCGAAAGGGAAGCGGCGTGTGGGACGTCCAAGGGTGACATGGAGGAGATCGTGTGAAGAGGAGTTGAAAGAGTATGGACTAACATGGATGCAGGTGAAAAGTACAGAAGAAGACAGAAGCAAATGGAGACGTGCAGTTGAAGCCCTATGTTCCAAATTTAACACAGAAGAAGGAATGATAAAGGGGAAATAGGAAAGGAGTTAACGACTATACATGCTGAAATATAATGACCACAGCATTTTTTGCGATAAATCTATGCGTAACGAGCTCCATCACTTCATCGTCTAATATCTAAATCTAAAAGTGGAGTTTTATTCATTCTAACTTTCTTATTGACCTCAATGGAGTGTTTTAAACAATTGTTTTGTATAAGTTTTTCAACACAGAGGTTGAAAATACATCCAATGTCAAGTAACTTGGTCTGAGTTTTTCCACCGATCTTTCCTGGTCCTCCCAAATCTTGCTAGTTACTAGAAAGATGTTTCGCTTAACGTTCTACGTTAGGAAATTTAGGCAATCTGGCATAAAGCAGTCTCTGATTTCTCAGTTTGTCAATTCTTGTATTCTACCCATCCCCCCTTACTGCTCCCTATTAGTCTTTCCTGGACTACTTAAGGAAGACTTTGCTTTGCTGAGAAGGCCACTAAAAGCCGTTAGTATGGCAAGTGGGATATCGTTAAACCAACTGGTTAACACTATTATGGATAGACATATTATGTCATGTAAGAAACTAGCGAATACAATATTGTCAGACCCCGAGGATCCTCTATATACGCAGCTGTCTCCTTGCATTTCATCTGGTAGAACTAGAAGTAGCTATAGGCGGCTATATGCTAGGACCACCAAATACAAAAACTCCACAATACCATATTTGGCACAGCTGTTATGTGATGAGAAATCCGTTAGGTATGACACGATAAACTTACTGCGACACTCTAACAAACAGTCCCATTAGTTTTTGTTTTCCTTTCTTCGTTACTATTACACTGTTGTTCTCATCTTCTATCACACACCAACTTTATATTTCATATCCTGTGGTGCATTGTTTGAAATGTAAACACTACGCTGTTCTTTTTTACTTATTTATTTTTTCCTTTTTTGATTTTAAAAATCTTATAAAATTTATGAGGTAATTAGATGCAATATATTGTAATGCTGGCTGAAAATTTCATACCTGTGCCACAAATACTGTTTGGAATAAAGCTGTTATATTATTATTATTATTATTAAAAAACTACACTAAATGAAAGTATCATTAACATATTTACTTGAAATTTCGCTTCATTGATTGTAATAACCGATGTTGTTGTTTCTGTGTCTGCAAAAAATGTACCAGCGCGAACAGGCTTTCAAAGACTATTCATAGCCACTCTGTCAGTTTGACGGTATCATTTATTGTTGGACTGGAATTAGACATTGCTACTGAATGCCACTTATAATTGTTTTAGCCTTGTTAACGGAAGTGAACAACCATGTTGATAAATTAAAAATGGGATCACATGCTCGTCTACTTATTTGCAATAAGTAGTATGAAACTAAAAGTGTAAAAAGATAAGGTGGAAAGTAAATCAACTCAAATGATTCTCCAATTACCTTCATAGAACTATCTGCATTGTAGTCAATCATCGCTTGCAAAAATGCAAGTAATGCAAAGTTTTAGGCAGGAGAAGTATTTTAGTCATTGTAATTCAAATGAACTGCCGTCAATATTTGACAGAATAGTTCTAAAATATTTGGGCGCCAAGTGAGTAGACATCTGTAAATAATTATATTTATAATATCTCAGCGAGATTGAAATGAGTACTTCCAACGTTTCGTTCGGCAATCTGGTCCGAACTTCTTCAGGGAAATTAATCGAAATTAACAGAACAGAGGTTTATATATAAAAGGAACATTTCTTGTTTTTAAAAACTTTGTTCAATCATGAGTCATGAAACAGGTATCAACATGTATAATAAACAAAATTGTATGAGCTGTGATCAAATTTTGACCTCGAACTTACAAATATTGGTCTACCTTTGATAAACACTTTAAACAGAGCGTGTTTGTGTGTGGGTGGGTAAATAGTTGTAAAACATTTGTTAACGTCTCCATAAGAAAATATAGACAATCGGGAATTTTGACCAAGTATTATTAATTAGTGATACATATCCATTTTTATTTATGAATCAGGATTCGCTATGTATCAGCTAACATCACAGCTTCATGTCTGTTCTAACTGTTAGTATCTAGAATTTTATGATTAGACGTATTTTCAAAATTATGACGTTTAGGATTAGAGTTTAGTTGAAGCACCCTGTCGAAGTTATTGCTTTGTCTTCTTTTTGAAGGTTGAGCTGCTTTATTTGCGTTGTCAGGTGACTCGACAGCTGCGGATTTTGGATATGCATTCTTATGGAGACGTTAACAAATGTCTTACAACTATTTACCCACCCACACACAAACACGCTCTGTTTAAAGTGTTTATCAAAGGTAGACCAATATTTGTAAGTTCGAGGTCAAAATTTGATCACAGCTCATACAATTTTGTTTGTTATACATGTTGATACCTGTTTCATGACTCATGATTGAACAAAGTTTTTAAAAACAAGAAATGTTCCTTTTATATATAAACCTCTGTTCTGTTAATTTCGATTAATTTCCCTGAAGAAGTTCGGACCAGATTGCCGAACGAAATGTCGGAAGTACTCATTTCAATCTCTCTGAGATTTTATCAATATAATTTTTTACAAATTGTAGTTATAAGTTTTAACCAACTTTGGTAACTGTGATATGTGTTATTTGTTTCTACGATCGTCTATCCCAACTTGTTTTGTTCACCAGTGTAACAATACAATAGTGAGGAAGAAGTTCAAGGGTGACTAGACAAGTACATGACATCCATCCATGAAGTCACTGATTATTGGTTGCCCGTTCAAGGTCTGAATAACAACAGACGCATATTGTCGAGGATTATATTCCATATACCCCAAGAACTGTTATATTGTTGGTAATAGTAGTTAGTTGTTTACTTGCTCTTTAGGCATCCTATTGATTTCACTACTTGTCGACATCTCTATACATAGAATTACATAAGATTTATTAGTTCAATTGTGATTACTTTCCCTTTCTTTCTTTTTCTTGTCTAGAATGTGGTGGCAAAAATTATCACTTTCTTCATCCATCTGCTAATTTAGAAGAAGCTGCTGTAGGCACTATTCGTAGTTCATTTGAATACTCTGGACAAAAGTGTAGTGCATGCAGTCGTCTCTATGTACCAGAGAGTTTATGGGAAAAATTTAAAGGTCTACTTCTCAGTCACTATAAACAATTAAAAGTTGGGTCGCCGCTTGATTCAGATACATTCACTTCGGCTGTTATAGATCAAAATGTAAATGCGTATTTGGTGTTGTGTTTTTTTTTCATTGTTTTGTTTGCTTTCCATTTTATTCTTGCTTTGTTTCTAGTAGTGAGATTTATAATCAGGTGACAAATTAAATGATTTCTTACTTCAATGTTACTCAGAGGTAGCCCAATCACCTTTTTGTACTAAGCATAACTAAGTTTCCAGTGGAAGTCGCAGTAGGGGCAGTGTTGTTTTTCACGGGATGGGGTCGCTAGTCCGACTCCCAACCTTTCCTATTTCCCGTACTTATTAAAGGTTAGTGAACTAGGCGTGGTCTAGGTGTACGTCCGCTGGAAATCACATCTGTACCTCCCAGTTGGCTGGAGAGCATTCCACTACTGACACCTAAAACGGAACACTAGCTTCTGTCAACGTCAATGATAATTTTGTTTACACAACTTATTTATATATTTTGTATTTCATAAAATACTCGTCTAGGTGATTATATCTACTCCCGATACAGTAAAGTCAACAGGCTTTTTAAAGAAAAGAAATCTGTAAGTCGCTTACACTGTGTTGGGAGTCTGAAAATGAAGTCATAGGGGTGTAAAGTGTTTCCGTCGGACTGCCAGCATGTCAACTATACAGCCTCTTCGCTCTGGGGGGTGTTCGACCTTAAAAATTGTACCTCTCGACTTACTCTGCGGCAGTCCGTAGCTAGCAGTAAGGTCTTTATTTGGATATCGTTCTAAAAACTACTTCGAAAACAGGTTATATGTTGCTTGACTCAAGTAGTTTTTCCCTAGGCCCTGTGGTCAAGCAACATTAATGCTCTTTCTGTCTCAGGTGTTTGAGGCAGATAGTAAATTGCATGATAAGGGCAGCCAAGAATTACTAACTACGCGTTTACTTTCATAAGCACACTAAATGCTAGTATCTTTAATAGTCAATCTGAACGAAGAATATTCTTATCAATAATTTCTCTACTTCAGGTTCTTACAATTATAAAATATGATATTTATTGTCGTTACAATAAAGGCCAGTTATGTTCCTACCGTGGCCAGACTTGGATTGATGATTCCTCCTCTCACCAAGAGTGCTCCTTCCCCTTAACCCTCTTGGTTTTTTTCCTTTGCTTATCATTACAAATATTATTATTACAATTACAATTATTATTATTCGTCATAAATTATACTCTTCATGCAAACATTCTCTCAATACTACTGAATTTTCCATTTATACTGTCCGAACTTATTATTAGTGATATTATCTATTTTCTCAATATATGCCTCCACCTGTTTCATTTCACATATTCGTTATTTCATTATGAACCTCTCATTGCAGTCTTACTCTCTCCTGTTTAACACAGACCACTTTGTACTAGCCATTCCTGACACCTTCGATAACCTTGAACCGACTTGTCAATTTTCCTACCCCACACTCTACAAATCTATTATGATTAATCACCACCATTGTCTCCAGTTTTACAATATTTTGGTAATCGATTTCAGCCTAGCACGTTTGTCACACAAATACGACTATTTATTTTGACTCACACCCCATAACTAATCTGTTATTCCACGTTAAAAATGTATCTGCCGTATAACTGGCCTTTATTGTAACGACAACAAATGCATTATATTTTATAATTGTAAGAACTTGAAGAACCTCGCCAGATTACCAGCTTGCTAGGCTACTAGCTTACTAGTTTTTTCGCCGGTCCCAAGCCCTGGTAAAGAGGGGGGGTTGGGGCGTGGTGCTATCAACTCCATCCATGTAAAACAACCAAATCGCTATAGAAACTTCAACGAATAAATAAATTAAAAATTCTAAAAACATAAACAATAACCTTATTTTTTGCTGGAATCGGAGAAGTGAAATGACGCAGGCTGGTGAAAGCCTTCGGGAAGCCAGTCAGCCGATATGCCTTCTTCCGATGAAAGCAAAAGTAAGGATGGGTACCTGGAATGTTCGTACAATGTACGAAACTGGAAAGGCTGCCCAGATAGCCGCTGAAATGAGAAGGTATAGAATAGAAGTGTTGGGAATCTGCGAAAGCAGATGGAACGGAGCTGGAAGGTGCCAACCATCAACTGGAGAGACAATAATCTATTCCGGCCACCCAAAGGACAACCACGAGCACATCGAGGGAGTGGCCATCATGATGTCACCAACAGCAGCCAAAGCTCTCATGCAGTGGGAACCAATGTCCTCCAAAATAATGACAGCCAGGTTCAACTCAAAAGGAAGGAAAGTTACAGTCATTCAATGCTATGCGCCTACAAACGTCTCAGAACAAGAGAAGAAGGAGGCGTTCTACAGACAACTACAAACAATAATGGACAACGTCCCAATGGCGATGTCACAATCCTGATGGGTGATATGAATGGGAAACTGGGAGGAGACAACACAGGAAGAGAACTCACCATGGGTCGAGAGGCCCTCGGTGAAATGAACGACAATGGTGAACTCTTCTCAGACTTCTGCGCCTTCAATGATTTGGTGATTGGTGGCAGTGTGTTCAAACACAAGGATATGCACAAGGCGACATGGATTTCATCAGATGGAAACACCAAGAACCAGATAGACTTCATTTCAATTTCAAGGAGGTGGAGAGGGAGCCTACTGGACACAAGGTCGAGGAGAGGAGCAGATGTGGGTTCAGACCACTATCTAGTACAAGGGACTTTCAAGGTGAAACTAAAAGCCTCGAGAATAGCTGGAGATGGGCCACAATGCAAGTTCAACACTCAATTACTGAAGGACAAAACCACAAAGGACACTTTCACTGCAACTGTCATAGCAAAGCAGGAAACACTACGCGACATCACTGAAGAATCGGGCGTGGAAGAACCTTGAAAGTCTCTGAAGGCGATTGTCAACGAAACGTGTTCAACGGTTCTAGGAAGAAAGAGGAGACAAGACAAGGAATGACTCTCAACGGACACTTGAAAATTAATAGAAGAGAGGAGAATGGTGAAAGAAAAAATGATTCAATACAAGGACGGACAGGAGAAGGAGACGCTGAGCTCAAGTTACACAGCACTGGACAAAGAAGTGAAGAAAGTGCTAGGAAGGACAAAAGACGATTCTACGACAACCTGTCCACTGAAGCTGAGAAGGCAGCAGGGAAAAGGGACCTGAGGACACTATATCAGATAACCAAATCTCTATCCGGGAAGAGATCAACACAAGTGAAACCTATAAAAGACAGCCAAGGGACGTAAATTATCAATGAAGAAAAACAGATTAAACAATGGGCGGACCACTTCAGAGGACTCTTGAACCGACCATCACCTGCAACCCGTCCAGAAATACCAAAAACAGCGCGCACACAACTGCAAGTTGACACCAATCCTCCAACGAGAGCTGAAGTCTTGAACGCAATCAAACTTCTGAAAGCTGGGAAAACAGCCGGACCAGATGGAATACCCCTTGAAGCACTGAAAGCAGACCCAGAGACTACAGCAGACATGCTGACTCCATTATCGCAAAAGGTCTGGAAGGAGGGAAAGGTGCCTACTGACTGGAGGAAAGGGTTCCTCGTGAAACTACCAAAGAAGGGCGACTTAGGACTCTGCAAGAACTGGCGAGGAATCATGCTTCTTTCGACGCCAAGTAAAATCCTGAGTCGCATCATCCTGGAGAGATTAAATGACGCACTGGAGATAGAGTGTGTACTGCTCAGCAGTTCGCTCCATCCTTGTCTATGCCTCTGAAACATGGCCAATACGAGTTGAAGACATGAAAAGGTTGACTGCTTTCGATCATAGATGTCTGCGATCTCTGTCTCACGTTAGGTGGTTTAATAAGGTAAGTAATGTTGACGTTAGGCGTAGAGTGTTGGGCAAACAGGGAAAATCAATCGACGAGACTATAAAGTTACATAGACTGAGATGGCTAGGTCACGTGGTGCGCATGCCTAACCACCGCCTCCCCCGACGGGCATTGCTAGCTGATATAGGTGCAGGTTGGAAAAGAGTAAGTGGTGGCCAAACAAAAACATGGCCTCATCAATCCATGAAATCCTTGACAGTTAAACTGAGTCAGGTAGGGAGATGCAGACTTCCGGGTTGGGGCCCTCGGGACTCTAGGAATCAATGGCTGGAGACAATAGGTGACATGGCTCAAATCGTTGTCAATGGCCAGCGCAGATGTATTCAGTCTCTGTAATCTTTCATATTCCTTTCTACCATTACCCATTCTGTTTCACTCTTATACTTGTCAGACTGTATTGATTCTCTTCACTCATCTTCTTGTCTACCTCTGTGTGCTATTTGGAACGTGGCAACTCGAACTGGTGCACTTCGGTGCCAAGTTCTATGTTGAATCCAGACAAACAGACAGACAGACTGGAGACAGAACTCCGACCAGAACAAGCTGGATTCAGGAAAGGCAAATCATGTACTGATCAAATTGCAGCTCTACGCATCATCATCGAACAAAGCATGGAATGGCAATCAAACCTCTACCTCAACTTTATAGACTTTGAAAAGGCCTTCAACAGCGTTGATCGTGAAGTAATTTGGAAATTACTAAGGCGTGCAGCGCCCCAAATATTCATCAACCTTATTCAACAGCTGTACGACAACGGAACATGTCAAGTCATCCACAGCGGAAAACTCAGCGGGGCGTTTGGAGTAAACACAGGAGTCAGACAAGGGTGCCTCCCTATTATCACCAATGATATTCCTAATTGTGGTGGACTGACTGGATTATGCGTCAGACAGTGGGAAACGAGAGACGGGACAGGGATATCCTGGACCGACGTGAAGAACCTAGAAGACCTGGATTTCGCGCGTGGATGATTTATGTTTGATGTCACACACAATCGAAGACTTACAAGCGAAAACCGACAAACTGGTCGAAGAAGCAGCCGGCGAAGACAGGACTCCAAGTGAACATAGACCAGACGGAGGTGATGAAAATAACCAACCAACCAATAACAACAACAGCAGCAACAACATCCAGCGTCAATCACCATCAACGGGAGGGATTTGAAAGAGGTTACTTCATTCACTTATCTAGCATTGAGCATTGTCTCAAATACAGGAATTCAGAACGGACGAGCATGTCAAATCGAGCGAGAATCAGGAAGGCGAGAAACACATTCATCAACCAACCTGAAATCAATCTGGAAATCTTCGTCACTCAGCCAGAATCAACAACAAAATCCAGTCGGATTTTCAATACAAACGTCAAGTCAGTTCTTCTATACGGATCAGAAACTTGGGAGGGTCACAAAGAATATTTCCAAAAGGTTGCAGACCTTTATTAATAACTGTCTTCGCTCTATACTGAAGATCAGATGTCTGGGCCGGAAAGAATCACCAACTAGAAACTATGGGCACTAACAAACAAAGCAAGAACCAACCGCACAACAAATATGCAGGAGAAAGTGGAGATGGATCGGACACTCGCTGAGGAGACCGCTGGGTGACATCGCGCGTCAAGCCCTCGAGTGGAACCCGAAAGGGAAGCGGCGTGTGGGACGTCCAAGGGTGACATGGAGGAGATCGTGTGAAGAGGAGTTGAAAGAGTATGGACTAACATGGATGCAGGTGAAAAGTACAGCAGAAGACAGAAGCAAATGGAGACGTGCAGTTGAAGCCCTATGTTCCACTAGGAACCCAAGGGAGCAATAATAATAAGAACCTGAAGAGAAATTATTGAAAAGAATATTCTTCGTTCAGATTGACTTTTAATTCATAATATGGGAATATTTCACACTATCAAAGCTAGTATCTTTATTTAAGGAATACTTTCATCATAAACTTCGTTTTTATTTTGATAATACCTCTATTTAGTAAATGTGAATTTATGTTCAGTAGTTTAACTCTTGTGAGGAATCCTCTTCTGATTATAATCAGTTAGCGGTGAATAGGGTCGGAGAAGTGTGGAATTTCATGTTGTCGAAAATTCTCATAATTAGAAAGTAACCAATTTCATTCCCTACATTTAGTCCATCTAATGTAATGTGATCTCTTTCTGATTGCTTATAAGATATTTGTTTTTATAAATATCTATTTTCGTAGTTTATTTTAAGCATAAGATGGGATGCTATATTTATAGTTCTCTTTATAGAGACTTTTTGATCAACAATTGAGCTGCTTTTATTTCATGAACTTACTTGTGATTATCATTTAATCTCGCAATGAGTGATTTATCCTTTAGGATGTTTTTTTGGTTATTGTGTTGCATACAATAAGTGATTGTATTGCTACGCTAGAACACATTGGTGTAACGTTTTAATTTGAGAAATTTCTAAGTAAACATTTTGAATGTAGTCGATGTATTGTAATATCAGTACTTGAAAGTTAGTCAGACAATTGATCGAGATACTACTTAAGTAAGAATAGGCGATCTTGTCTACTATCTCGATTATCCTCATTCTTCAGTTAGTTAAAGACGACATACACAGATGACACGTAAGTCGATAAACCTTTTGTATATTTTGCTGATTTATGTTATCAAGTTATTTGTTATTGATTTCTCTTCGTGACAGTACTACAGGCTCTATATAATGTTTGTGATATTTTCCACCTTTCTTCAAACGTTGTAGCTAACTGTAGGAGAAGATTCTTGTATTTTTCACTAGAACTGGTTTTGTTTTAAATAATTGTCTTCGTATAAACTAATTGGTATTGGATCACCTGTTGAAATATATTTACACTCTTTTGAGCTGTATGCGTACAAGTGATGTATTATTACAAACAACCGTTCTTAAGCTTAAGATTCAATTGACAGTGATAATTATTTATTTATTTAAAGGACCAGTTAAAACCCTATGAAAGTTGGTGAGGTTATATGATAAAATGATATCAGCTCATGATGAAATCCTACAACCAATCCAACAAACTATCCCTACAAAACCAACACTTGGAAATTAATTAATCTGATGCTCACTAGCGACTGGCCCTATTCAGGCATTTAACCTGGGGTTCTAGTGGGAAGCCGTGACCAGTAGGGTACAGCAGGTTGAAGGTGAGACAGTAACTCATCGAAGAAGACATTGCGAAGTGGTCGCGCTAAGTCAAGAATCGGCAGAAGTTGGAATTCATGGACTGCCCACTGGATCGGGTCCCAGTGGCTGCTCAGTGGTCTACGAGCTAGCTTGCCTGGTCCTAGATTCCAGTCTCGGCGGTGGGTGCGTACTGATGAGGAGTCCCAAATTATAACGAAACAGCTGTCCAGTACTCCCAGCTAGCTTTCCAATTGTTCCTAACCAATGTCAGCTCCTGATGAAACCCTCCAACCAATCAAACAAAAAATCCCTACTTGTAAATTAGTAGTAGTTAAAAATACCAACCGCGTCGGTGTTTCAATAGTAGGATGCTCACCAACCAACCACGCACGTGGTTTGAGTCCGACTGCTGCCCAACGCACGCCTAAACCTCACTCATCCGGTAGAAAGCGCGGTAGAGACAGAAGGTTGGGAGTGAGACTAGAAATCTCAACCCGTAAAAATGACAGCACCACTGCCACTGAAACTTCAGAGCTCAAGCTGGAAGCAAAGTAATGAAAAAACTAACCAGTGGTAACTTTATAGTTCCTGATAGATCTACGCTTAAAACGACGGTGATACAAGTGCTTTGTTTTCGTGATTTGGTCATTTTCTTCTGGTTCAAACTTGTTTTAATTCATCTCTGGAACGATACATCTCTTATTAGTTGTTTTCTGGCTCTATGTGTGTATAATCAGAGGTGGACAGTATTCTATCAAATTTCTCTACTTTCGGTTGTGCTATATATATGTAAATTTTTTCAACCAACTATTATAAGTAAAATAAATGTATATTTTATTTTAGGCATTCAAAAAAATTTCTAGTTACCTACAATATGCATCTAGTTGTGCAGATATTGAAGTTATTGCTGGCGGTCATGGGAATGATAAAGTCGGCTATTTTATTGAACCTACAATATTAAAAACGAAGAATCCAACGGATAAATTAATGAAGGTGAATTTGCTCATTTTAATATCTTTTTAAAATGATATGAATTTCTTTATAGACTAGTTTAAGGGTTTAACATTCTTTCATATTTCGTTTACGATTGAATTTCGGATAATTTATTAAGCTACTAATTAACTGATATAAGTAGTTGGATACAACTCACATCTAAACACTGAACCGTCGTTTCACTCATTTGGAACTGATTACGTCAGTAGCAGTGGATTTTGACTCAGATCAGATAGCCAAATCAGTTCAAATCAACTGAATACTGGCTTAGTACTTTCTGATATCTTGTAGCGCAGTTTTTGAATTCAAATGTGTTTTGTGTAAGCTTAACTTTTTACGAGTTGATAACGGATTGATATCAATTAGAGAACCATTGAAAACCAGCTCTGCAGTACTGGACAGTTGTTTCATCCTAGTTTGGGATCATCGGCAGTACGTATCCAATGGGGTTCGAGTCCAGGACCTTCCGGTTACAAGGCCAGCAAGCTCGCATACCATTCAGCCACTGGGACCCGATTCAATGGCCCATGAATTCTAACTGTTTTCAATTCGTAAAAACAAATCTAATCCTTACAAACCAATTATTAAGCTTAACTTACCGATCATTTGAATACTTCTGCTTCAAATTCTTGATGCTTTCGACAGAGAAGAAGTGTCTTATTAACATAATATATCAGATTTAATTCATTCAGACTTTTGAGTCCATTTCATTTTTTAGTTATCTGCGATAAGATGACTAGTAGAATTGACTCTGCACTAACACACCTAGGACTAGACTCATGATACTAGTTATTACCTACTTTCCAATCAAAGTATCCAATACAGTCAGTCCTACAGGAGGTCAATTGCGAGCTCGAATAGCTCCATGGCAACGTTTCCGACTGCAGCACTGGTTGGTTCGGTTTCGAATCTCAGAAGGGAGATGAGTTCCTTCAAGATTGCAGATACGCCTTGCTAATGTGTGTCTACAAGCGCGAAACATGAGTCTAAGGATTTCTGTTGACTGCCTCCAACCATCTCACAGCAATGTTTATCTATCCTACTTAATAAAAATGATAGAGTTTAACAAAAATTTAATGAAGATGATTTGAAATTATTTCTAATTTATCTTTGTCTGATGTTACTGGAGTGATATGCCTTGTGTGTGTTGACATGTCGGCTTTTAGTACGAAAGTGTCCGTACTCGTGGCTCAGAAATCTAGTTGATAACTATCCGATGTTCACGTTATTAAGTTTTTTGACCTGGATGGTTTAATTATGAAACTCTCATTATACCTCTAGACAACGTATTCAGCATTAACCACAACCAAATCAAAAACATCCATCTGAGCTATAAATGTTCTCTATTATTTCAGAAGCTTTGGAGTTTGAGATGATAAGTGCTGAATGAGCTCAAGTCTCGACACAGGTGGACATCCTAATTAGGATGAGACGCGCATTTTGAATTCTATAGCCAAACAGCACTGGCTAAATAAAATGATTCCTTAAGTTGGCTTTCATTTATCACCGAATGATGATTCTTTCTTTTTTGATATCATATGTAACAGTTTATTCGCTTTGAATTTGTGATTCTGTTTGGATTTAATAGTTTTTTCTTCAATATATGTAAATATATCCAAATCTAAATCAGGTTTTGGACTAGGATTTATGGAGTCAACTCATTATGGATGGTAGTTTATGACAGAATTCAGTATAACAATGGAGGACAGCACATTTTGTAGTACTGTACCGTTTGTTTGTAGCTAGTGAATGAGATACTAGTTTACCGTTGATGTCTTTCATAACCAGGGTAAAGTAGTTATCGTTACACATTTCTCAGTAGACCACTATTGAGTTAACTAGCATTTCCTGTCTGTTGAATAAACAAATAACAACTCATACCCATTGCACAAGAGGTGACTCTTGTGACCTAGTGACCTGGTGTACAACGATTTATCTTTTGTAATGATGGGTGCAGTTTCGAGTCTCGGTGGGAACATCATCCAGATGACGGATCGCAAATAGGATGAAATGCGCATCCTGCATTCCACTGCTAGTCCACCATCAGCCAAACAGTAACATCCTAGTAACTGTCTATTGTTTTAACCACAGACGGAAATTGATGCGATCTGTACCACGCCTTGAAGTTTTCAGATCATTTAAAAGTTTAAACTGACAATATTGACCATATTGTCTAAGTCATTATTCTCTCATATTGGTGGGATTATTAATTGTTTCGTAAATGATTCCCTTGACTAAAACAATTTTTAATGTGATTGCCTCTTTTATCACCTTGTTTATTGATTGCACGAAATAGAACTGTAGGATTACAGTATAATGTGGTAGTCAATTGACAATTTGTAAATTATTGAAAAGAGTTTATTCCATCCTCCTTACTCTGTCTTGGTTATGTAGGATTTTATCAAGTATTCTTTAGAACAACACATTTAAGCGAACAATATTGTTTTCAATTAGATCTCATCAGGCTTACCTCTAATATGCATAACTTTACAAATAAATATTCAAATATAAACCAATCATGGCGATTTATCAATAGGATTATAAGATTGTGCATATAAATTGTGCAATCAATAATAACAATAATAATGATTCTATTAACAACAAATGTGGGAAAGTGAGATGATCTGTGATAACAAGAATAATGAAAGACAGCATAATTAAACAAACAAATGTTCAGGTAGAAGTAGTGGATAAAGGTTAAGAAAAACAAATAGTCCGATGTAAGTATTGCTAGATTGTGAGGAAAGTAAATGAAATAAGATTAAGGTATGATAAGAGAGGGACTGAAAATATAAGTAAGGGGTGGTGGTGATGTCATCAGTTGGTTATGTCTCAATAGGCCAAAGGAGGGATAATGACTTTACGAACTTTTTCTGAATGCATAGTTTAGGCTGAATATTTCGAACGCCTATTGTCTCAGCTATATGCGGTAGACGAATACGAAGTCCACTGGGAAGATTCGGTGAGATGCGATGAAATCTCCTTGAATCCTTTCATTTCCACTAAATATGACAAAACCAAGCTACATATGGTTTTTGTCTGTCCATTGCCGAACCACGATGGGAGATGTTCAGTAACACGTTGGCTAAGCTGTCTAGTATTATGCCCAACATTACTATCATCGCAGGTACAGTTGAATTGATAAATAAACATAGATGCGGTAAAACTATCTTGTTTATCCTTTGTTTGATTCCCAATCATACGTTGGCTAGAGAATGACAAACATAGGTTGGCTGCATAAGACGTTCTTCGTATACTTCTGGAAAGTATCTAGAATCAAAATCTCACTTGATAAGTTCCCATTAAATTGTAACTTAATAAACAGAGGTTTCTTCCATATTGTCACAGTTCTCAGGTTTACTACCCAGTGTTTTTATATGTTTCTTTATGAAACTACTCGGATACCCCACCTCCGTCAAGACATCATGAATTTATTCAAGTCCTTTTGTAAGTGATCATCCTGTACATATCTTTCTTGCTCTGCTCGTGAGTATTATTCGATAACTTATAAAACATATGACACTGATGAAAATCGGTGACTTTTATTTCCCTCTATTTTCAGGATGATATTTTCGGACCAATTGTATGTGCATACGTGTATCGTGACAATGAAGTCGATAAAACATTAGACTTGGTCAACACAACCACAGAGTATGCATTGACTGGTGAGTGAATTACTGTATATATATAGTTTTCTTATTAACGTTTTATTCTTATCATTATTTATACTGTAAACTGTAAGGATTTACCCAACAACAAGAAACTATTTGATTTCTCTTTTCCCTAATATGTAGGTGTACTCAAATCAACCATTCGTAGTGATTCTAGACCTTCAAAATGCTTAGAACTTAAGCTGGAGTATCTTTTATTCAATAATTCCATTTGTCTATTTGAACTCATTCCCCTAAACAGGTATTTTATGTTTCAGGCTATGAGCCGCACATTGTGTGAGGGGGGATTCTAACTTGAGATCTACTTACTGAAAGTCGATGGCATAAGCCTGTGAGAGCTACACATCCAGTGTTAATAGCCACTAGACAGTGTAACTCATTTTTATGCAACTTAGAAACCATATTCATCTTCATGCTGTTTATAACTAGCTACATGTGTTGTATGTTAGCCATGTTAGGGCTGTCCTGCTGCAGTTTTCAAACTAGTGATTGATTGTTTGAAGATCGATCGTCTAAAATGATCAATTTCAAACCTACTTTTTGAAGTAGAATTCATTAGTTTATTTCTGTCACGTTCCTCAAGAAGAGTTCTATGTTGGTTGTCCTATCTATGCAAATTTAAGTGAGAGGATATTATTCGTTACTCAGCATCAACAACCGAATTCGGATCTTCAATACAAACGTCAGGTCAGTCAGTTCTTCTATACTGATCAGAAACTTGTTGGGGGGAGGGTCACAAAGAATATTTCCAACAGCCTGTTGCAGACCTTCATCAACAACAACTGTCTTCGCTTTATACTGAAGATCAGATGACTGGGCCGGAAAGAATCACCAACAAGAAACTATGGGAACAAACCAACAGACAAGAGTCGATCGCCCAACAAATATGCAGGAGAAAGTGGATTGAGATGGATTGGACACTCGCTGAGAAGGCCGCTGGGTGACATCGCGTGTGCTTCAGGCCGTCGCTCGAGTGGAACCTGTAAGGCAAGCGGCAAGTAGGTCGTCGGTACAAGGGTGATATGGAGAAGATCGTGTGAAGAGGAGTCGAAACAGTATGGACTAACATGGATGTAGGTGAAAAGTACAGCAGAAGACAGAAGTGGCAAGTGGAGACGTGCAGTTGAAGCCCTATGTTCCACTAGGTACCCAAGGGAACAATAATACAATAATAATATTTTATCGTCATTTAAAAGTAGAACGGAATTGAAGTTATTCAAGTGGTCCATGGTCAATCGATACTTTAGAGAGGTAATATCATTATTATTATTACTATTCTCTTGGGTTCCATTTCATTCTGTTTTCTGAAGTTCTCTTCAACTGGCTCCATGGTTGATCATAAACTGTCGTCTCCTCCTCACACGATTTCTTGAATACCACTCTTAGACTCCTAATATGCCGTTTACCATTCGTGTTCCATTCGAGAGTCTATCAAGTGACGTCACCTAATGGTCTTCTCAGCGTGTGTGTGTGTGTGCTATATAAGTAGCTATGATTAATGACCCCTCCTATTAATCAATCCTCCTCAAACTCAGGTACTAAAGAAAATATCTATTACGTTGGATCTTATGTATGAACACAATCAATAGTATGGACAACATTTTTCACCTTTATAATAGGCCTGTAGGGCAACAGTGTCGTTTGTAAAGATAAAAATCCTTGGAAGTACAAAATAACTCACTAAATTTTGTCCTTGCATGAATGTCTGTTTTTCTTTTTTTGATTGCTAGAAGAGAATATCGTTATTTTGATTACAGTGTATATTATACAAGTAAATTGAATTTATCCGAGAATTCACTACATAGTTGTTTATTGTTTCCTTAATATACATATATATAGGTGCTATTTTTGCTCAAGATGAAGCGTTCATTAAGTCTGCAACTGATCGTCTTATTGATACAACTGGTAACTTTTATGTAAATGTTCAATCGACTGGATCTGTAGTTGGTCAACAACCATTTGGAGGCGCTAGATTATCAGGTAAATGTTTTATATTACTAAATAAATTGGCCTTTACTTATAAACTTGTGTGCATCAGTGACACAGCAGCAGAATACTCGCCAACTACGCCTCATGTGGTCCGGGGTTCGATCACTGGCCACCGACGCACTTCTTTACCTTTACCCCGCTAAGCCAGTAATAAGACTGGTATGAGCCTAGTAACCCCATCCTGTAAAAGTAAACACTTCTGCTACCTAAACTTCAAGTCTGTAGCTTGCAGCCCTATGTTCCAGTGGGAAAGTAAAGGGATATTATACATATATATATATATATATATATATATATATATATATATACTTATAAACTGTGACTTAATCTGCAGATGGCGAAATTTGACGGACTATTTTTATTTTATTGCTTTAAATCCCCACTGGAACGTAGGGCTTCTAGCTAGAGTGGTAGCAGTGGTGTTTGTTTCTACGTGACGGGGTTGTTAGCCTCATGCCCAACCTTCCCTCTTTACCAGTCTTATTACTGGCTTAGTGAGGTTTAGGAGTGAGTCAGTGGCCGGTGATTGAACCCCGAACCACCTACGTGGTTGACAATCATTCTACCGCTGTGTCACCGACTCACGAAATTTGACAGCTGATTCACCCCCTAATTAATAAGTTGTAATTCGTAAATGTTGTCTTACTGATGATGATGATGATAATGGTATATTTTTTAAGCGTTTCGTCAATATCCATTTTAAATGAGCATATGATATACTCATCGAATTTTCTAATTGTGACGCTTTAGCCATATTGAAAAGAGAAAAAATTTCCATTTTGACTGACCAATAGCTTATTAAATTATCCCCTCATTATAATAAAATATATTTGGTTATTAGCAGTGCGTGATATAATAAAATAATAATTACTATTATTATTCCCCTGGGTTCCGAATAGAACGTGGGGCTTCAACGTCACATCTCCATTTCACTCTGTACGCTGGCTCCATAATTCCCCTTAAGCTTTCATTTCCTGTTTACTTGTTCCCACACTCAGACACCCAAGTCGTCATTTCCCATTTAGGTTCCACTAGGGGTCTTCTCACAGTCACTGTATGTCTAATCCATATGTAACAAGTTCTTGGCTGGTTCACTCCCCCACCCCCCGCGCCTGATAGAATTCCTTTTTGCTTATCCTTTCCGACTGGTCATCTGATCTTTAGTATGGAATGAAGGTATCTGTTGACGGAAGTCTTTAGTAGCCTGTTGGAAATCGTTTTATTGACACGCTCCAAGTATCTGAACCATATAGAACCACTGACTGATTTGGCGTTTTATTGTTTAAACAGAATTCTGATCTTGTTTTTTGTATCGAATGTAAGTGTGTTGTAGATCTCTACACTCTGACTACAGAGTAATGAAGGTTTATCTTGCTTTTCCCTATCCTCTGTGACTTTGACATCCTCCGGTTGTGTGTGTGGTAGCAATGGTAATATATTGTCCAATCAATAGAAACCCATAATTATAGGCCAATTGATTTCTCCTCATTGATTTGACTAGTAACTTAACATGATTTTTCCCTGGGTGTCTGTTTCGCGTCAGTGTAGCATAGGTGGACGTGCATTGTTGGAGAATCTAAAACGAGGACGGAATAGTTTTTACAAGTTCCTTTGCAATTAAATTAACTGTGAAGGTTATTTGTTTCAGACAACTTTAATTGAGTTTTATGGTTATATTTACATTTAAAGCAATTGGTTTCCTTTATGAATTTCGACAAAACAATAAGAATATTACATTAAAGATAAGGAATTCTTAAGTGTCATTTATGTTGAGTAAATGAATATGCACTTCAAATGTCATGAGAATTTTTCACGAAAGTAAACCGAAATGGCCCGAAAGTTATAAGTAGACAAAGATTAGGGGATAAATTCATACTTCTCGGTCACATATCTATGTACAATATTATTATTGTTCCCTTTGGTTCCGAGTAGAATGGAGAGCTTCAACAGCACGACTCCACCTTTTCGTATTCTCTGCGGTCCTCTTTAGATGTCCACACGGTTGCTCATAGTCTCTCATCTCCTCCTCACACAATCTCCTCCATGTCACCCTCAGACGCCCAACACGTCGTTTCCCACTTGGGTCCCACTTGAGCTATGGCCTGGCGCGTGATGTTATTCGACGGTCTCCTCAGAGTGTGCACAATCCATTTCCGATTTCTTCTGCATATGTTTTGAGCAATCGATTCTTGGTTGTTTTGTTACCAGAATTTCTCGTTGCCAGTTCTTTCTAGCCGTCATTTTGTGGTGAGAGCTGGGTGCTAGTCAAATTGGTAGACAGTAATTTACGTCAATGTTTACGTCCCAAATATTGGTCGTGAGAAAAATAAGAACAAAGACTGATTCAACAACCAACCACAGCTGACTTTGCGTAGGCGGCTACAGTTAGCATGTAGATGATCTAAACTTCAAAAAACAGCCACAAAGAGATGCAAGATTAACTTTCTGTTAAAAACAACCAATCAGAGGACTGTGTTCTTCTGCTAACAATAATCTATAATAATGTACATGAAAATCTATAAATATGTGATGACTTCCTTAATAAGGGATCTGTTTCGTCGCCCTTGTCTTCTGTTTTTACAGTATTACATCATTTTAAAAAAATACTTATAGGAATGAAATGTAATTGATTCCACTTTATGAGACATCTTACTACCGCACTTACTTTCTTTCATTTTCTTTTTCACATTTTTCAAGGTACAAATGATAAAGCTGGAGGACCTCAATATGCACTACGTTTTACATCTCCACTTTCGATTAAAAGACAATTGAAGCCTATACCATCATGGAAACAAGCTCATATGAAGTAAAACAAAAATAAAAAATAGTCTGGATGGAAGGGGAATGCTTGTAATTTCTGCATATCACATATCCAATATATTCATGTGTGTGTGTGTGTGCGTGTATCCACAGAATTTATTTATGTGACTACTGAGGAGTGCTTCACCTATGTTGGAATTATTGTTTTGAAGAAATTTTCACCATATTTTTCTCCATAGTAATACATACGTGTTGTTGATGGTTCGTGTTTAAATACAATTTTCTTACTAAAAGACTTTTTTTTAAATTTTTTCAAATGTAAGCTCATAATTTTGTAACTGGGTGGGACTACGGTTTATCAGCTCTCATTAGCGGCATATCTGGTGTGGTGATTCAGTTAAGGAAGCCGAATCATCAGTTTAAACCATCCGAATTCTATCTAGCTGCTTAAGTGAACTGGTGATACACATTGAACCGAATTCTCGATTTATAAATTACACAGTTCTAGGCGTAATTTCACCCCCGATGTCCTGATAAATAGACTTAATTTTCTTCATGTCATTCTTGCATGTCTGTTTACATAACTCTCAATCCACTTATTGATGTATTACCTGATTTTCTCTCACCCTACGCTTATGACCTTCGAAATCCTATTGGTTGTTCACTGTCTTAATTTATCAATTGCATTAGGGCTTCTCAAGGTCATTTTAAACATATGTATATATATACATATATGTATGTGTGTGTACGCAAGAACTGTCAACCTTTTTCGACTGTTGTTTGAGGCAGTATGAGCTCTCTTACTAACGTCGAATCTTTTCTGTTGTCTTTGAGTACGGACGATGTTGTTGTCGTTGTTCACGCGCGATTAGGACAGATTAGCCAACGCATTAAGTTAGCTTTGGCTCATAGTCCACTAGGTCGTATTTCCGGTCATAGCATGTCCTTTGGAAACCGAAATTGCTGGGATTACAATGCCTGATATGCTCGTGACCAATCAATAAAGAAAGCCAAGCACATGATGGTATATATATATATCGCTGATCGATTGGTTGATTAATTGATGTGGGATACACTGCTCACATCGGCCAGTAGTAACTCATATCCAGCCAGATCGAAGTTAGATAAACACTCGATAGCCGTTCCACTTATTCGCCGTCATCCATACACAATACAATAAGTTTTGGTGATTACTTATTACACACAGGTGTCTGCATTTACTAACTTACATTACTGAATGAGTTTTTAGAGAATAACTTCATTTAAAGTAAATATATGAATTGATGTCATCACCCATTCGCCTACTGTCGTTACTGAAAATCTTTCCATTCCTTACTCCTTCAGTTTTCCTCACTTCTTCTTCTTCTTTCGTCTACTGCTTTTATCGCTAGCTGGTAGGGTGTGTGTTAAATAAAAATAATAATTTACTTTATTCCAAAAACAGTACTTATAATACAGAATGGAATTCTCAGCATTTGTCACAATATTGCATCTGATTTACTTAAAATATAAATAAAATTTAAGATTAAAACAAATGTAACCGAAGGAATTTGTCCACGCTTCATTGCAAAAGTTGCTGGATCATACAAGTACAGAAGTGATCGACGAAGCAGAAATAAAAATAGTTGCGTCTTAAAAAGTTTATGCACTTTACCAGTTTGTAACGTTATCGTAAAACTTTTCCTCATTACTTTGTATTCCAAGAGGCGCTAATCTTTGGCTTTCGATAAAAGTAGTGTTTTGTTTTACAGAATGAAGAGGTTGCTTGCCTTAAAATCCCTTTCCTTTACTGGGCTTACACTACAGGCTAGACAAGGTTTAAAAATGTATCGGCCATGAGTCGAACTCCGGACCACGTAAGTCTTTGTCCAATTATGTACATAGTGCTAACTTTACCGGACCTTCATCAACCTGAAACCAGTTTGAAAATCTCTTGCACTGACTCAGTATAAAGAACAAGATTCGCATTTTCAACACTAATGTCAAATCGGTCCCTCTACACGAGTCAGAAACTTGACCAGCGTGTAACGAAAAAGATTCCTAACGGGTTGCAGACTTTCATCAACAGCTGCCATCTTCCCTGGCTGGCTCCATACTGATGATCAAATGGCCAGCCAGAAAGAATTAGCAACAAGAAACTCTGCAGTAGAACAAACCAACAGGGGAGAGTCAATCGCTCAACAAATATGTAGGAGAAAATGGAGATGGATTGAGGATACATTGAGACCGTTGAATGACATCACAGGAAATGCAGGCCGTAGAGGGGAATCCAAATGGGAAGAGACGACTGGATCATCCTAGGGTGACCATTGAGGAGATCGTGTCAGGAAGAGATGAGAGATTATGAGCAATCATGGAGCCAGGCAGCTGAAGAAGATGCCAGAAAATAGAAGAAAGTGGAGCCCTACGCAACGTAGGGCTTCACTCTTGCACTCAGAACCCTAGTAAATAACAGTAGTAATTAACTTTACCGAAAGTATTACCGGTAAGATTTTACAAAGATCAAAGGTGTCAATCTAACTACTCACAGCTAATCGTACAACTGCAAAATGTGGTCTGAACATCTTTAGGACATAATTATCGAAATGTGACAGTATGATAAATCGGCTTAAGATACAGAATACATGCAGTAATCCGAACCCTAATATATGGAAGACCGATTGATTTATATATCTTTGTCAAATACGTTTGTGTGTTGTCATATACAACTAGTGGGCTTAAAATTATTTATGCTATGGCTTGACATCGTTTTCAATGGCGCGAATGTACTCACTTTTTGTAATATCCTAGAGCCATTATATACTCACGTTTATTGGATTTAATAGTCTTCCTTGCATGCATTTCTGTTCATTATTATCGTTCCCTTCAGTTCTGAGTGAAACACAGGGCTTCATCAGTACATCCCCACTTAATCCTGTTTTCTGAAGTCCTCTTTAGCTAACCCCACGATAACCAATAAGTTCACACCCGCTCCATGTCACCCTAGGACGATCCACTCGTCGCTTCCCATTCGGGTTCCACTCAGGTACTGACCTGGCACGCGATGTCAACCCCACGATCTCCTCAGTAACTGACTTAACACTGTTGGAAATCCGAATCTTGTTATTTATGCTACGGAGTGCTGACGATTTTCAAACTGACTTCGGAGTAATGAAGATGTACCTTGACCTTAATATCCTGGCTTCAATATCTTAATTCGTTATACGCCTATGGTTGAAACGTTGCTACCCAACTAGATAAATGAAGGAAGTAACCTCTTTCAAATCTCTTCAGTTGATGGTCATTGGTGCTGGTCGTTGTTGTCGATTGGTTATCTTCATCACCTTCGTGTTCACCTATCTTCGCTACCAGCCTCTTCTGCCTGTAAGTCTTATAGTTACTGTGACATTAAACATAAATCATCTGCGAAATCCAGCTCTCCTTATTATTATATTATTATTATTGTATCCTTTAGTTCCTAGAGGAACATAGGGCTTCAGCTGCGCACCTCCATTGACTTCGGTTTTCTGACAACTTTTTCACCCTGCTCCAGGTCTGCCCACATGCTTTCATCTCCTCTTCACATGACCTCCTCCAAGTCACCCTTGGACGACCAACTCGCCGCCTCCCTTTCGGGTTCCACTCGAGGGCTTGTCTAGTGATGTCACTTGATGGTTTCCTCAGCGTATGGCCAATCCATCTCCATTTCTTTCTGCCTATTTGTTTCACAATCGGTTCCTGATTGGTTCGCTCCCAGAGATCCCTGTTGCTGATCTTTTCTGGCCATCTGATCTTGAGTATTGAGCGGAGACAGTTGTTAATGAAGGTTTGAAGTTTGTTTGAGATGCTCTTTATGACTCGCCAAGTCTCTGATCCGTATAGTAGCACTGACTTCACATTGGAGTTGAAAATCCGGATCTTATTTTTGATGCTGATTGCTGTTGACCTCCACACAGATTTGAGAGTAATGAAAGCTTGTCTTGCTTTTCCGATTCTGGCTTTGATGTCTTCGTCAGTTCCGCCTGTAGTTGAGACGATGCTTCCCAGGTAGGTGAAGGAGGTTGTTTCTTTCAGGTTCTTCCCATTTATGCTTATTGTGGTCTGTTGTTGCTGTTGATGTTGGCAAGGAATCTTCATCACCTCTGTTTTATCTATGTTCACGTGAAGTCCTATCTTTGATGCTTCTTCTGCCAACTTGTTACTTTTCATTTGCATATCTTCCAGTTTATGGGAAATCAGACATATATCATCGGCGAAATCCAGATCCTCCAAGTCTTTTGTGTCAGTCCATTTTATGCCTGTTCCCTCGTTGGTTGCCGTTGTCTGTCGCATTATCCAATCAATTGCAATCAGGAAGATCATTGGTGATAGTAGACAGCCTTGCCTCACTCCCGTCCTCACTTCGAAGGCTTCCGTAAGTTTCCCGTTGTGGATTACTTGGCATGCAGCATTGTCGTATAACTGTTGGATGAGGTGTATAATTGTCGATGGGACCCCGTAGTAGCGAAGTAGTTTCCAAATGACCTCTCGATCGACGCTGTCGAAGGCCTTTTCAAAGTCGATGAAGTTGAGATAGAGAGGTGACTGCCATTCCAAGCTTTGTTCAATGATGATCCGTAGAGTGGCGATTTGATCAATACATGATTTGTTTCTCCTGAATCCAGCCTGTTCCGGACGAAGTTTTTCATCTAGGGCTTGTTTGATTCTCTCCAGGATGATGCGACTTAGTATCTTGCTTGGAATGGACAGAAGCATAATTCCCCGCCAGTTTTTACATTGACTTAAGTCTCCTTTCTTTGGAAGTTTGAATAAGTAACTGTTCTTCCAATCCTCGGGTACTTTGCCCTCTTTCCACACCTTCTCCAGTAGTGGTGTCATCAAGTCCGCTGTTGTCTCTGGGTCTATTTTCAAAGCCTCTGCTGGGATTCCATCTGGTCCCGGTGTTTTCCCAGTTTTAAGCATCTTGATTGCATTCAGGACTTCTGATTTCGTCGGGGGGTCAGTGTTCACTGGTAGTTCTGCTTCCGTTGTTGGTATTGCTGGACGTGTTGTAGGTGGCGGACGATTTAGA